TTGGTGCGTCTGAACTGTGTGCCTTCAAGAATGTAGCTCAGCTTATCACCAAGCCACCAAAAAAATTAAAAACCTCTCCTATTTATTAACTCCGGATTGGTTTAATTGATGTAACTTGATATTGTGTTAAATTGATAATTGTGTATAAAAATCAGTCCGGTTCTTTTTTCCTTCTTGTTTCTATTTAAGTGTTAGACTCAATCCATTTAGGAAGGGATGCAGCAATTTATAAATTGAAACACAATGCAGAACATGATATTTAGGAATAAAATATCATAGTGTGTATTTGGATAAGTGGGTAGAGGCTGGCAGACATCTGAGATGCAGCAATAAACTCTAGATGGAATGGTCTGGTAACCAGAGCCTTGCAAAGTCTGGACTAGAGTAGGGTCACAGTGTTTCCATTTTCTGACAAGAGGACTTTATAGGCTCATCTCTAGAAGCAGATTCAAGCAGGTGTGCTGTATTGTACACACTGTGTATAGGGATACTAAGGATTATAGAGTACCCCACTGTTAGCTGTGATTTTATTAAAAATACACAGAACAAAACAAATACCTAAAAACCTGAAAGCTATTGCTGTTGAGTCACTTCCAACAGAGTAGAATTGCCTTCTAGGATGTCAAGGCTGTAAATCCTTACGGAAGCAGATGACTGCCTGTAAAAAGCCAGGGAGGCGTGCTGGGTGTGGAGAACAGGACACAGCCAGATCTGAATCTGCTAACTCCACAAGGGGAATTATTCCCATCATCATACACAACACTAATTCCCATGAAATCATTTATGTCCCCATGCTCCTGCACCTTTCCCCACTGATTCCTACACCAATCTTACTGCTCTACTAGGTCCAAAATCAGTTGTAATAGCTCAAAGACCACATAGAAACATACTCATGATTATGAGGATTATTGTTGTTGTTATGTGCCAGCAAGTCGCTTGCGACTCATGTACAACAGCCCTAAACCCTGCTCTATCCTGTGCCAGTCGCACTTCCTCTGACACACCCATCCTAATTACCCCAGTCACTGAATCAATCCACCTCATAGAGGGTCTTCCCCTCCTATGCTGTCC